ATTGTCTCCTGTTAATTGTTTTATCTAAATTGGTATGCCTTGGATAGCTACGAGCTTATCCCGGCTTGCTTATTGCGGACTGTGCGCTCATCCGGGTCATCATCTAGCCATTGATCAGCATTCCCTTGATTTGAGCGCTCGCATCGAAGACGCACCTGCTTGATGCCGACCCGATGCTCGGGTCTGCCATAATGCTCGTGCCTACAGGGCCGCCCACGATGATCCTGGTTGCCCTTACAGACGTGACAGGCGCACCAGAGTCAATGAAGATGACGATTGCGAAGTTTTTAACGATTAGCTACGCCATCACCTCGCTGATATGTTTTGCGGTCGTGGGAAGTTTAACGGCTACCGAGGCTGCGATGGATCGATAGAACCTAGCACAGTTTAATGTCCCAAAAAATTAATGTTTTACTACTGATGCTAGGGAGGCACAAGTCGACTGGGAAATCTAACGCTCATTGATAGCGCGCATGCACTCAGTGGAGTGACCGTGATGTGACCCTTCGACGTGGTCGGGAGGTGGAGGGGCTTGAGCTCCCGACGTACTGCAGGTTCTCTTGTAGGGCCGTCACCACAGTCCGTGTCCGAGGTTGCCCCGCACATGTGAATCCAATTTTACCCCGTTCAGAATGACAAGAAGCCATGACTCTGGCTGCCATTCTCGGTTCTGAAAAACGGCATTCTAAAATAATGCTATTTGTATAAGACTTACGTTGTGAACATTTATCACTCACAGACCCATACCGTGACGACCCGAGTCATTCTCCCGTCTGAACGCCTTATGCTCGATACTTTCCTGCTCTTACCATCACTACCATGACTGTCACGTCTTATCTGCCCATTCTGCGGTATCTCAGCCCTTTGCAGGTAGCAGCCTGGCTGGCCACAGCGTTGGCAGTATGCTACCTCGTTTTTAGTGTACGATTTGAGTTTCGTTTGGCAACTGTAGCAATCACTGTTGATGCTGGGCTGACCCTCCGTCACATTCAGAACTTCCTCAACTTGTTGCGTAGCCCACTAAGACAGATACCCGGTCCTTGGTGGGCACGTTTTACAAGCCTGGGCATCATATTGGAGGGCCTTAAGGGACGTCGGGTATTTGTGAGTACGACCTTTGAAAAATATCATTCATGAATCGCGATAGTAGACGATTTGATTCTGACCTCGCGTAGGGCCTTGAAAAGCTCCATCACACAGAGATGCCAACAATCAAGCCTGCTTGATGGGCTTGATTGATTTGATTGAGTGAATACAATCAAGCCAAATCAAGCCCAGACTGCTCAAAAGTACAAGCAAATCAAGCCTATTAAGCAGGCTTGATTGGTGAGCTTGATAGGCTTGATCCTGGCTATATCGTAGAACGTGAAGTCGTAGATTTTGGTATAACCTAGGTTCTATCCCATCTTCTCTCACTTAAAGGCTAGTACGTACAGGGCATAGCGCCCACAACGTTAGCCGGCGGAGATATAGATCTTAGTTCCCGTAGCACAATAATTAACACGATTCTCTACATGTTCTATTCCTAGTGCTACCCGTTGCTATTATGCCAGACCCTAGACATCCTTGTAAACGCCCTGCTGCTGCTCCTGTTGCCGCCGCTGGTCGCTCAAAACGCTAGAAAGGCAGTAAATCACAGCCTATAACTATCGAAGCTTCGCAGCCATCTCACCCTTTCGTTATCGACGAGGATACACAGCGCGAGACTCCGCCAACGTCGCCGCGTCGAGCTATACTAGCCGCGAGCCAAGGCGTTGATTTCAAGATGCAGTTGCGCGACTCTATACCCGAAGATGCGATTGTCGCGCCTGTTGAAGCCTCTGAGGTAGCTGCAGCGGCGTTTAAAGCGGTAGATAAAGGCGAGCTAGAGCCTGACTTCGACCCGCGTATAGCCGATAACTTTAATGGCATTAACTGGAGTCGCCTGCCACGGTATATAAAGCCTCTTCGGACACAGAAGCAGAAGAAAAGCTAGGTATACAACTACGGTTATTGGCTTACTCTCCGCAGTAATACCAACAGGATATTTTGGCTGTGCCACATCTGTCACAAGCGTAAAGCAGCGACTACTGGCTTTGCGGAGACGACGGAGGCAACTAGTACTGCTGCGAGGCACCTAAATAGGGATTATAGAATAACAAACGCTAGTGAGCAACCGCCTCAGCAGCTTCTTAGAGGCCAGAAATCGCTAGAAATAATGCTGAAGGGCGGCTTCGGCGTTAGCCAAAGGGTTGCGAACGAGATAGGAAACTTCGACGTACAGTCCTTTCGAATAGCAGCTATTAGCTGGCTTGTTGACAACAACCTCGCCCTCTGCCAGTTCGAAGATCCAGCTTTCCGCATGATGATACATTTCACGAATCCTGAAGCTGAGCAGGCGCACAAGCGTTGCGCAGTTTGTGATGAGGCTGTACAACTTCATGCAGCCTCAGGTCGTCGATGAGCTGCGTTGCGCGGCGAGCAAGATACATAAGCTTTGATGGGTGGACCGTTAAAGGTGGCAAGCGTGGCTTCTTCGGTATTGTCGCTCACTTTGCCACGGCTGAGGGCGACCTTAGGGACGTTGCTATTGACCTGCCGCAGCTCTCAGGTGCCTATACTGGCGACAGGATAGCTGATTGTGTCGCTAAAACTCTGCAGAAGTTTAATATAACTGCGCAGAACGTTAGCTACTTCATGCTCGACAACGCGTTCAATAACGACACTGCTATCGCGGCCCTTGGAGCGAAGTTTGGCTTTAAGTCTAAGCATCGCCGGCTACGCTGTAGCGCTCATACAATCAACTTAGTTAGCTAGTCGATTATATTTGGTTTAAACAAGGACGCCTTTAACAACGACGAGAACTTAGCTGTAAGTCTACCTATTCTTTTCAATAAAGCTTTCTAACGCTGTACAGGAGGAAGAGAAATACCTCAACGAGTGGCGTAAGCAGGGCCCATTAGGCACGCTTATAGACGTTATTAGCTACATCAAAACGCCACAACAGTACGACATGTTCGCGAACTTTCAGCGCCTCGCGAGGCAGGACTTACCGGCCGACGACGACGCTAAATTCCAAATACTCGAGCCTGTAAAGCCTTGCGTTACGCGCTGGAACTCCTTTTGTTCAGCGTTTAAGAGAGCTGTATTACTACAACCCGCGTTCAACTCCTACGTTTGTTTCTACGTGGAACAGCAGCGCGTTGCCGACTCACACGCCCAAACGAAGAACAACAAGAAGCCCTAGGCGCCTGCTTAGATAAGATCTGAGGGCCTTACAGCTGCTAATTAGGCTGTTATAACTAAGTATATTAAGGTGCTAAAGCCGCTGAAAGATACTACAAAGCGCCTTAAAGGCAGAGGCAAATGTCGCCGTTTCGTTGCGATATACGAGGTTATACCAGTGTTTGAGTTCCTCATGGGGCGCTTTGAGCAGCGTCTCCGGCAGTACGAGAGGGTTGATTTTGAGCAGCGCGAGGCGCCTGAAGATCACATCTCTATCAACTTTCGCGCAGCGTAGGAGAAGCTCAACGACTACTACAGTAAACTCGACGACTCACCCGCGTACTTTGCGGCCTGCGCTCTTCACCCGTACTATCGACGCTATTGCGAGAAGGCGTGGCGTGATAAGCCTGAGTGGCTCGTCGCCTGTATGGCTGACTTTCGTGCTCTTTAGGTAGAGTATACGACCTCTACTCCTCTAACAAAGCCCTTAAAAGAGCGTGATAACGGCGCTATTGACGAGGCTATCTCGTACATCATAAGCGATAGCGAGGACGATGATGAGCTCACAGATGAGTACGACAGGTGGCGCAAATTGGAGCTAAAGTGGACGAGTAAGCAGCATAACAGCCCTAACGTTGACGGCAACCCTATTAAGTACTAGGTACAGCTTTAGTCTAAGTATCCCGACCTCTTACGCTTTGCGACTGACGTGTTAAGTATTCCAGCGAGCAGTTGCGAGTGCGAGCGCATATTTAGTGAACTAGGAGATCTACTTGCTCCGCGACGGCGCAAGATTAGGTCACAACTACTCGCCG